ATAATGAGGCCGCAAACTGCTTACCTATCAACGACGAATTTTATGCGTATTGTTCTCAAACCGACACTTACGCTGACACCTTATCATTGGATAAAAGCAATTTTGATATAGGTCCATTATTGAATAAAGATTTGAATATCGAAGAAAGCCAATTGTTGAAGAGATTTCTATTGAAGTACAAAAGCATTTTTTTTCAAGAAGGCCAATACTTACCAGCTTTAGAAACGGTTAAACATCAAATCATTACTAAACCTCATGCTCCTATATACACTAAAAACTACCGATATCCTTATGCGTTGGAAGAAGAAATAAATACCCAGTTAAATTCTATGTTAGAAAATGGTATAATTAGGCCTAGCAAATCGCCATATAATTCACCGTTGTGGATCGTTGAGAAAAAATCAGCAAGTAATGGTAGGAAGAAATGGCGTTTGGTGATAGATTACCGTAAATTAAACAGTCTTACTATCGACGATAAATTTCCCATACCCAACATTGAATCACTTTTTGAAAAACTAGGACGAGCGCAATATTTCTCAACAATTGATCTCGCAAAAGGATTCCATCAAATTTTGATGGACGAAAGCGACATAGAAAAAACAGCTTTTTCTGGGCCAAATGGGCATTATGAATTTACGCGCATGCCATTTGGCTTAAAAAATGCGCCTGCTACGTTTCAGCGCATGATGAATACCGTTTTGTGTGAATATATTAATAAAATCTGCATAATCTATATGGATGATATATTAGTATTTTCTACATCAATTAGTGAGCATTTTGAAAGTTTAACAAAGGTATTCAATCGCTTGTCCGAAAAAATTTGAAAATTCAATACGACAAATGCAAATTTTTATCTAGATATACAGAATTCCTAGGCCACAACATTACACCTGAGGGTATCAAGCCAAACCATGAAAAAATACAGGCTATACAAAAAATAAAATTACCACGCACAAAGTTGCGAAACCGGAATTTTTTGGAAATCATATTGCCTAAACTGTAATTTTAATTGTATCGATGAGAAACTTCTACAGATTGGTCAGAATGAAATCCCAAACAGAATGAGTGAAAAAAAAATTTACACCGAAAAAAATTGTTGGGTCCAATTTTCAACAAAAGTCAAAAAAAAAATTGTTCGAAAAATTTACAAAAAAAATTTATTTTAATTGTTCTTTTATTTCTGATAAATACCCTATGATTAGTTTTTTAAATAAACTATAGGGTGGTCCGAACAAGAATTATAAACGTCAAATTTTCATGATTTTTCGATATTTGTTGAAAAACTCTGAAATTTTATATAAAACCAAAATCTATTTCATTTCTTATTTGAAAGGTGGCAATAAAAGCTTTAATTTGATACCGGTTTGAAGTCAATAGCTTCAGTTTTAAGAGAGTTATGCTCATTTTTGTGGAGTGCTAGAATAGATGAAAAAAAAAAAAAAAAACCACAAAATAAAAACAATACAAATAAGCGCGCAATAACGGATTATTTCACCCACCTACCTAGACGTAAAAACAAAGGGGGAGAGAGAGAGAGCGAAAGAGAGAGAATAAAATAGTAAAACAACAGAGAGAGAGAAAGGTACCACCACAAGCTAAAAGAAAACACTATATAAAGACGGACACACATGCGGACTAATTAGTGACAAAAAAGAAAACACTGAAGATGGCGATTAGCCGAAACCGGTCTGAAAATAATAAAAATTTGACGTGGGATGACGGAAAGTCACCCGAAAACCAATATGATTAAATTATTCAATAAGTGATTCCGAGAATTTCCGTTCTATTTCTATGGAATAAATACTGAGAGTGATATACTAAAATCGCTATAACTCCCAGGAGGGCAGGTATGGGCAGCTGATTTTTTCACAGTTCGTTGAAAACAAATTATGTAACATTTCTGTAGTGGTTTGGAACTGGGACTCTCTGGGACTTTTTAGATATTGCTTACCTAACCCAAATTTAAAGGAAAAATGGACCTTTAGTCGGGTTTTCGCTCTAAAAAAGGTGCATATGAAAATGTCTCAAACAACATTCCTTTTTTTTACAGAAGATACTTGTCCGAAGGCAGATTTTTTTTCCGAATCAAAATATCTGTCACCAAAATCAAATGAGATCATTTTGAATACAGCCCTGAAATCCCCTCTTTTCGTGAAAATTTTTTATATTTGACTTCTAAAATCAATTAAAAATCAACGGGCCAACATAAAAATAAGCTTTATGTGTTTTTTGTTTACTTGGAATGTCTGTGACAAAATTGCATCATTAAAAACACTGAAAAAAATAATCGGAAAAAAGTTACTTTTCCACTAGCCGCAACACAGTGCCACGGTCTGTGAAAGAAATTCAATCCTTTTTAGGCTTGACCGGTTACTACCGTAAGTTTATAAGGAATTACTCCATGATAGCTGCCCCCATAATCAAGTATTTGAGAAAAAATTAAAAAATCAATTTTAAGGATAAAGAGTATATTGAAGCACTTGACAAGCTTAAACTCATTATGACTTCACCACCACTACTAGTATTTCCCGATTTTTCCAAAAAATTCACTGTAACAACTGATGCCAGTAATGTTGCGATAGGAACGGTGTTGAGCCAAAACGGCAAGCCAATTTGTTTTGCGAGTCGCACATTAAATGGAGCAGAAAAACGCTACCACACGCTGGAGAAAGAATTACTAGCCATAGTGTGGGCTGTGCGTCATTTTAGGCCTTATTTATTCGGTCGTTCATTCGTCATTCAAACGGATCATCAACCCCTTAAGTGGCTCTATTCCCTGAAGGATCCAACCGCACGCATTTTAAGATGGAAAACCTTACTAAGCGAATACGAATTTGAAGTGGAATATATTAAAGGTAGGGAGAAAAAGGTCGCTGACTTTCTAAGCCGGCAAAAGGATAATGATTTTATGGATAAGGAAGAAACTTTTGATATTCAATCTTTGTTTGAAAATTCCTTAGAAACGGTGCATTCAGCACGCGAAAATTTAAATGATCATTTCCTTATTTCCGAGTCAATAGTAAACCGATATACCACTCAAATTCGGCTAGTAAGGAACAAAATCGTCGAAAGCGAAATATTGTATAACAAATACCGGATAGTCTACATAGCTGAAAAAGATATACAAAGAAACACTTATCTCACGGATATTTTTAGAAAATATATAAAGAAGGGAACAACGGGAATTAATTCCGAGTTGCCTGATAACTTATACAATAATGTACAAGAAAAGTTAATAAATTTATTTTCGAATGATAGTAACATTAAATTTACTAAATGCTGCTATAAAGCTGTAGACTTGAAAACGGAGGTGGAAACTTTAGAGGTAGTGGAAAAAATCCATACAGAGGGCAATCACAGGGGAGTGCTAGAAAACTATGAGCAAATGAAATTGAAATACTTCTATCCTAATCTTAAAAAGGTGATCAACAGATATATTAATACATGTGATGTGTGCAACGAGAACAAATACGCGAGAAAACCTTTGAAAAAACTATTTAATTACACTGAAACCCCTAGTAGCCCTAATGAAATAGTGCATGCTGACGTATTTTATTGTTTTCGCGCTTGTTTTCTAACGACTATTGACAAATTCACTAAATTGGCTTCCATACATAAATTGCCTGATAGAAACATGGTCACAATTGAGATCAAACTCCAAGGCTAGGAACACCGAAAAAATTAATCATGGACAACGAATTTAATAATTCTCTTATAAGATTATTCTGCCGTGAAAATAACGTGACTCCTCACTTCACTACTCCGAACAGCCATACTGGAAATTCAGATATTGAAAGGTTGCATTCCACACTATTAGAGCATATACGAATTTTAAAAAATACGGACAACTCCTTAGAAATGGAGGAAATTATGATTAAGGCTATTGGGTTTTATAACAATTCCATTCATAGCTCAACCAATGTAAAACCACTAGACTTTATCAATAGAAATAACATGAATTTTGAAAAAATTAAAAACTATACTTATAAAAAAAAGAAGCATGCCATTGACAAAATCAATGCAAAAGGTGAAAATGTTCCAAATTTTAACAACAACAAAGTTTATATCAAAAACCCTCTTGCTAATAGAAACAAAGTTGCCAAAAGGTTTATAAAATTGCCAAATAGTTTTCCAAACAAAATTGACATTGCACATATCAAGAGGCCACATAAACAAATTTAAGTATTAACTAAATAAATTTATGTATATTATATTTTAAATGAAATTCTGAAAAGATGTACAAATTACGCATTTATGGACATTTAAAAAAAAAAAAAAAAAAAAAAAAAAAAATATAAAAAAANCTATGTATGAATGTACGTTATGTATTTAAGTGATTTTAAAATGTCAGGAATAATAATTTTACCTTAATATCAAGCAAAAAGAAAATTATATATATATATAGAAAATTAAAAATGTACATACATACTTTTACGTTCGCCCAAGTATAAATTGTAAAGTACCTTGAAAATATTAAACTTATTTCAAATGCAGATAGCAAACTAAAACAACGGATCGTTAAATATAAAAAAAAAGAGAAAGTCGGAATACCCAATAAAGATATTATAGCTAAATGGCCCCGTTATCAAATGGCGTAGTATTTTAGATTAATACATTTAATGCATAAGCATTTCTCGATTTTTATATATGTAACCTATGTAACCTATTCTTTAGGTGTATGTCTATATATGTAGGTATAAACCCTAAGGTTTTGACGTGTGAATCGCAGAGACGCGAGTTCATTTTGAGGAGGGCGAGTTATATGTACATATGTATATGTATAATAGGCGATCATCAGCGCGATCGGAAATTAATTAGCTAGTCAGTGAGTTAGTTAGAGTCATCGTTAGCTAGCGATCAGACGTCCGTGTTTAAGAATACTTTAAATGTTAACGCAGTTGTTCTTATAGTTAAATAAATGTTTTTTGTATAAAGCATAACTAAATTAGTGTTTTACTAATAATAAAGAAATTATGTATTAAACATAATTAAAACGGGGTTTGATTACAACGAGTAATCCTATCTCTTAAATTACATATACCCATGTATGTGTGTTTATAGATTCCGCAGGGTTGGTAAAGGAATTGATAACAACATCCAAAATGCGAATGCAGTTATAAAGGCATGCTGCACGTTACACAACTTTTTACTTGAGGAGAAAGATGCCATGCCTACAATTTGGTTAAGTGAACAAACAAATATGGGCCGAAATACAAATTATCCAAATCACTCAACAAATTTGATGCACAATAGACATGAAGCCGAAGATATAATAAACGCTCTCAGTATACATTTTGGTAAATATGCGTGCATTCTAAATCGTAAAATTACAAATCTTCAACTATACCCAAGTCCCAATAACCCAGCAAACACAGTCTCTAAGGGTATACTCATATTTCAATTTTACATTAGAATTCTAGTGTAGTTCTCGAATCGAAAATCATGTTAGAGAACTATGTTAGAATTCGATTAAAGAATGATTAGAACACACTAAATATTAGAAACCAAATAGAATTCAACTTTAGAAAACGACTAGATATCTAACCTCTTTCTCGATATTGAAACTAAGTCCCCTTTTTGTAGAGAATGCTATAATTCTCGACAGCTTCTCAAATCACTTTTTGATTTATATGATGCATTTCATCGAATTTCAATTATTAGTTACGATTTTTTGCATTTCAGGTGACGATGTATGTATACATACATAATTTGAATTTAATATATCGTTACTTTAATATAAAAATGANTATTATTAGTTACGACTTTTAGCATTTCAGGTGACGATATATGTATACATACATAATTTGAATTTAATATATTGTTACTTAATATAAAAATGAGATAGGGTCATCTCATTTTATTCCGAAATTCGAAGTGGTACAAAAGTCGGTAGATTACTCACTAAGGACCCGATAAAATTTAAAAACAAGTAGTACATCCATATGTGTAATACTCCTATATTGGCAGTACAGATATATCAATGAAAACGTACGAGAGAGAAGGCATACATACGTTTATAAATAAACATGTACGCAACAATACACAAAAACGGCACTCACGTACACAATACATTCACAAAAACAGCACTACACTGTCTCGCTTTGATTTCGGAATGCTTACACATTGAGAAGTTAGCTTACTGCCACAGCGTTTTTAAAACATTCGCACATCAAAAACTCTTATTTTTATAATTTTATAACAACTCTGCAAATAAATAAAAATGTTAGATAGGACCCTTCTTGGCCGAATTCGAATCAATATTATATTTTATTAATTTTGACGACTTAAAAAATCCAAAACACCTTGGGTAAGTTTTTTATTGTCATCCCTCATTTCTTTTAAAACCTCCAATTTTTTCTCTTCTACTTTAGCAATTTTTTCGTTAACTGCCAAGTTCTCATGGACTGCTTGCTTAAAAACCTTGCCGAACTCCCCATACATTGTCAGTAACTTTTCATTTCCTTTACTTGTTGCGCGCACATTGGAAGACGATGCTCGTTCCGAAGGCGGCGAGGGCAGCGCCAGTTCAGTGGAGGATAGGGGAGAGGCTGACGCGAATTCTTCAGTCCATGACGAAGATGAAATGAAATCAAATAAAGAAAAAGAAATTAAATAATATGGAATTTGTATGTACATAAATTAATATTTTGTATGTTCCTTTGCTCGCCCGGTTCACAGAAATGAGTCACAAATAACTTGATTTGTCTCGGAAGATATTCAGCCCTGTCGCAAATTCCGTGTGAATAAACTGTACCCATAATTTAACATTCAAAACAAAAACAANAGAAGATATTCAGCCCTATCGCAAATTCCGTGTGAATAAACTGTACCCATAATTTAACATTCAAAACAAAAACAAATAGGGAAAAATTGTTTTGCTTTATGATTTTTGGGAATATTTGTTCACGTGAAATTCACGATCGGGCCGATTATTAAAGACATTGTAAATGTGGGTATGGAACGACAGTAAATGTTTAGTTATTTGTACAACGATTTTGGGGTGGGGGCGAAGGAGGAGCTGGCGTGGCCCCCTAAAAGACAGATGATGGGCCGCACTTTATGAAAGGTCACTCCTTCCCCTTTTAAGTTTTGTTTTATCTCAACGGCCGCTATACTNCAAATGTTTAGTTATTTGTACAACGATGTTGGGGTGGGGGCGAAGGAGGAGCTGGCGTGGCCCCCTAAAAGACAGATTATGGGCCGCACTTTATGAAAGGTCACTCCTTCCCCTTTTAATTATTGTTTTATCTCAACGGCCGCTATACTGCACTTATGCCAAAAAAATACCATATTTCAAACCAAAATTATTAATAAATTAATGTTTAGATATAGTAAATTATATTGTATTAGTAGAGTGTAGACTCTTGTCTAGAAGTATGTGTAAAAGTCTTTGATTAGGGTCACGCGTTTGGGCACAGCAACCCAAAATTGTTATACAAATAATTAAACCGTACTTGGAACGACTTCTGACTAAATCTTGTAAACCGGACGAGTAAAGGAGCAGAGAAATTGTACAATACTTACATTCAATGCTCTCTTCCACACAAACATTGACGTTGTTTATACGGTGAGCGCCAATCACTTTATGAACAGCTTCGTACAAATGCCACGACGCCGGTGAAGCTCCTGAGGGTCCAATCGCCTCCTTGCATTTTCTGAAGGAAATATGATTTTAGTAAATCATAATTTTAAAAGATATTAACATAGTACCTGTATTTAGCAGTAAGGTTGGCTATCTTGTACTTCACATCTTGGGCAGATACAACATACCCTTACTTTGCTAGCTCGGAGGACATTTCTTGGTAGACGTGCGTATTTTTGCGTGCACCGCGTAACTCATCTACCTTTTGCTCCCACAATTCCACAAAGCAAGCTTCTGCCTTGCTATCCCAAAAGCTTCTCTTCCTGCGTTACTTGACTGGCGTTTCCTTTTTTATTGTACCCGCACTAGTTTTAAATTTCCATTAAATTGTTCCGAGTTTAAGCGTAGAGTTAAGCATTCAACTCCAAAATGGGCCATAAACCCGAGTTAGTGGCTCAATGTGAACGCTTTATTAGACGGAAAAGTTTCATTCATAATGAATAAAACTCCTTCGGAATTAAGCATTCTACCAGAAAAGTGCAGCTATACTAAAACAGCTAAGCGAATAGGCATCTAAACGGAATGTACCGTAGTAAACTAATTTTAATTTAGAAATTTGGTCGTTACCTTACCCCACCTAATATTAATAATTGAACAAGATTTGTAGTACAAGTGATGATCAATATACTATATTAGTTAAAGCACGATAAAGCTAAAGGTATGGCACATAAGGATGCCTTAATGTAAACAAAGAAAATAGTTTTTCTCCTTTAAATTATGCTGAACTGAATATTTGAGTAGTCACTTGCAAACAGCGTTATGTGATTTTATAATAGAAAGCCATACATTTGAAAAAANATTCAATCATTTCAAATGGGGCTGTTTGGGTAATTTATTTTTAGCAAAAATTTAAAAAACGGTAATACATTGGATCCTTGGCTAAAAACTTCTGTGGTAAAACTGTCCCCCTACGTCTCCATTTTTGGCTATTTAAAGCCAAAGGGTAGGCTCCCTCAATAGGGATTTCCAGCATATGCTAAAATTATTAAAAAGCTATCGGTCTGATCAGATAAGAATTACGTAACAATCTGCGTGCAGCCTCGACGGGGTCTGTCCATATGGAAAGGGGAGTTAGCGTGGTGGGGTTAAGGGGGCATCCGAAGAGATGCTGTGAGTCATGGAGCAACTCTCCGCATGCCGGGCATTCGTTTGGAATATCTTCGCTTAATCTGCTCAGGTATGAGTTCAACCTGCTGCAGTAACCAGACCGCAGTTGGGCTATTGTGGTCCGAGTCTGCCGAGGCAGACGAAGTTTTGTATCGTCCACGTCTGGTGGTTGTGTACCCAGAACGGCATTCACAGGTCGGGAGTCTACATAACTCGAGACTGCCTCTCTGTGAATGTCGTTCAAGGTCTGTCGATAAGCTGCCGGGTCCAGAAAAGTGATGGCAAAAAAACTTTAATAATCGATTGATCGGTTAATTGATTAATCGAAAGCATTCGATTAATAATTCAAATCATGTTGGCATCTGACAGGCCGCTGTGAGATCGGCGAAGAAGCACCTGTACCGAACGATTGGGACTCTGCTAACTCGGACAAAAGCGTGCTTGAATTCTCGTCCACTGGAGGCCCTTCACGATGATCCCGAAGGTGGTTTACCACGTACTCCTGGAGAGTTCCTCATTGGGCGACCGCTTGTTTCACGTCCCGAGCCTGCAGTACCTGATGTTCCTGAGAATCGTCTCAAGTTTTGGCAGCGACTGCAGCTCATGTATGAACATTTTTAGAAGCGATAGCAGCAAGCCTACCTTACTTCGCTTCAGGCACGTGGTAAATGGGCCCGTCCTCATCCCAATCTTCAACGCGACGGCGTAGTACTTATCCTCAACGAGAATCTTCCTGCAGCTCACTGGCGTATAGCACGAGTCATCGATGTACATCCTGGCGACGATGGCCTAGTGTGCGTCGTAACTGTCGAGTACAACAGCGATAAGAGGAAAGGACGAAGGTATCTATGTAAAGCATCGATGTCAGCGACCGGTTCAAAAGCTTTGCCGGCTACTGGTTCCAACGAAGAGATCCTGAACCGTGACGGTTCAGCCGGGCAGGATGTATAAGACATCACTGACTTAATTGCATGTATATAAGGCATCATGTTCCATCACTGATTTAATTACATGTATATATTTTTCGCATTCTGTAGCATCACTTGTTTCTTGAGTAGTTTTTGTTATTCTGCAAGCATATCTTTAAGTTGTAATTTGCTTATTAATTATTAACAAAATAAAGCTCGACTCGGACATACGAGTCCTTTGTGTAAGAAATCATCTATAATTGAATTGCTGTTGGATTTGTTGTTGCGGTTACCGAGTTGCCATCTGAATGTACCAATGGGTTCTGATATAGCGTTGTTGTTGCTGGTTTTGTCAAATATGCATTTCTTTTGCTTGCGCTTGGCATTGAGTGCACGAATAAAATTGTGGTGAAAAAACGAAATGCGGAAAATCACCAAATATCGCGTGTCCAGAAACAATAAAAATAATAATAGATTGGCGCTCACATATATGTTAGTGTTTGGCCGAGTTTCTCCTCCAACTTGGGGCGTGCGCCTTGATTTTGTCACACAAAGCGGAGGGACCTACAATTTTACCCCGACTCCGAATGGCGATTGTATTTTTATAAGCTGTTTTTTTCATGGTAGAAATACACTCGGAGGTTTGCCATTGCCTGCCGAAGGACGACCGCTGTTAAGAAAAAACGTTTTTCTAAATTTTTTGCGATGTTGCTTTGACCAGGGCTTGAACCCATGTGCTGGTGAGTGAAAGCGCGCACTGCTTACCACTATACCGCAGTGTCCAGAAATACTGCGTAATATAATCACATTATTTTCTCAAAGAACAGAAACCGTGCCAACTGTATGAATAATGAGATTGGTGAAGTTCCACTTACAACGTATGAAGAACTCCTAGGTGTCTGCACACAAATTCAAGACAGGAAAGCTCCTGAGCCCGACGGAATACCTAATAAAGCCTTGAAGGTCGCGATACACTCCCGGCCGGACTTATTTACAAGAACGTTTCATACATGCTTGAAAGAAGGCATATTTACCAGTAGTTGGAAAGTCCAAGACCTGGTATTGTTACCCAAAGGAAATAATCCGCCTGGAGAGCCCTTGTCTTACCGTCTAGAGTTGTGAAACCATCGATAGTTTCCATGTTTCAGAAAAAAAACTATCACTACTCGTTGATAGTTTCCAGCAATACTATCGATAGTGTCAAACGCTACCATCGATAGTACAATCGATAGTCAATGTAATGTTAAAAACTGTTCCAAATCAACAGGGACGGCATCGAAAAACTAAAAAAAAAAACAAATTTTGAAAATATTAAACACATGTAGGGCCGTTTTCTTAAGTAACTTTTAACTTTAAAATTCACTTTATGTTCATATTTGTATGCTTCACCACAAGAGCCATCCATATAGAGGCAGTAAGCGACCGCAGCGTTTATGCAGCCTTGCGCCGTTTCATTGCTTGCAAACGAACTTGCTGAGCTTTATCGACTTTTCAAAACTGAAGTCCATCAAGAACAACTGCGGCAAATGCAAATCGCGTAACCTGGCGCACAATCCCTGCAAAATCGTCCCACTTTGGAGGATTGTGGGAGGCTGCCGTGAAGCAGGCAAAATATCACTTGGTGAGAGTCGTTGCCAATGCTACGCTATCCTTTGAAGAGCTCACAACCATTACCGCTTAAATAGAGGCGAATTTAAATTCACGCCGATCTCCTCCAAACCCTCAGATTTGGAAGTTCAAACACCGGGTCATTTCCTCATCGGAGAGCCTCTAACTTCATTCCCGGAACCTGAGCTTACTGACGTCAATTACCATTGCTTATCACGCTTTCGCCGTTTGCAACAGCTACAGCGGCATTTTTGGCGTAGGTAGTCAAGAGACTACTTGCATTTGCTCCAGCAGCGTCATAAGTGGACAACGAAAGCGCCCAACCTACAGCCGAACACACTTGTGCTAATTCAAGACGAGAATCTACCACCGTACAAGTGGCTGCTTGGTCGAGTTTTGTCAACGATCCCTGGTCGATATGGAGTTCACCGTGCTGCCGAAATAAAAACGCAGTATGGGATCTACAAACGAGCTATAGTGAAGCTATACCCTCTACCCATTGACGATTGAAAATACTGAAGTATATTTCAAGGAGGCCGGCACATTCAGTCGCAGCATTGTTCCTTCATACATTCTTATTTATACATATGTATGTATGTACTTCATATTTAAAATTCTTTAATTTCCTAATCCTAATTATTTCTTACCTATTTAAAATGTATTACTTAATACATATGTGTTACCGAATATTCGTATACCGACTTCGTAAGTATTTTAAATATTGTAACTCGACACATCACTAAATCATGTTATTAACCTTACGGTCAAATTCCAATAGCGTTAACATGTAAATCGTCTTTATACATATGAATATAAGTTGTCGTTAAGATTATCTCTTTGGTATTCTTTTAACATGCTTCGCCGTGTATACACGTAAACGAAAATTAATAAATTTTAACTTTTTTATATAAAAGAATCAAAATCGACTTTGATTCTTAACATTGCTCAAGTAAGATACTTCGAATCGGTGGTCACTTACAGAAAGCGGAGTTGTCATTTGATCAACGGCACCCGATTAGTTTAGCGAAGGATGGAGCATTATCATGGCTGCTTATCGCCGATGCCCATGAGAAGTGTATTCTTGGTGGCATTCAGGAGATGATGCAGTATTTGCGCCAAAGTTTTTGGATCGTACACATGCGCGCGTTAGTCAAGGTGTTTGTCCATTGATGTGTTGTATGCCGTCGTCATCAGCGAATCACCCAACAACAACAGATGGCATCCCTCCCGAAATCGAGGGTATTGGTAGCACCACCGTTCATTCATACAGGCCTCGATTACTGCGGCCCATTTAATGTGAGACTGAGTGGTCAGAGGTCGAACGTTTTGACTAAGACTTATGGTCAGATTTTTGTCTGCATGGCCACTAAGGCCGTGTATATAGAGCCGACTGAGAATTTGACAACCAAGGCATTTATTGATTTATAAGACAGCTTTACACGCCGACGAGGTATTTGCGCCATACTTTACAGCGATAATGGCACGCTATTTGTTGGA